GGTGCCTGGGAAGGGATACAGAAGTTTAGTGGAAAGTCAGCTGCACACATATATATATATATATGCCGCCCCCTTGACCCCCTGGCACCACCCCTGGCCTGATGGCAGTCCTATGGCAGTCCCAGACGGGTCGTGTTTGGGTATGGGAAGAACACACTCAATCATTGGCGCTTCTTCGATCCCATCTCATCCCTCGTCCGCACCGGATGTTGTGCTGCTGAAGCACCGGATCTTGCTCTGGCCGCGGAGTGGGTGAAGCTGTAGTGAAGATATAAGGGCCCTGCTTGTGGGACATCCACTAGTTACCTAGTTACCTAGTTCTGGTTTATATGGTCCTTCTGGGGAGCATCCACTAGGGCTCCCGCCCATAGTTCTGTTTCTTTTCTCGCCTGGCCACTCACAGTTCACTCGGGTTGCAACATGGGACCCTTGGGTCGCACAGATTTGGCTGCGGATCAACCCCGCAAGATCCAAACCCATGGCAAATTTAACCCTCTTAGAGGTCTGTTCTTTTCATTTTCACTGGTCAACGGCATCCTCGCAGTGTTGATCCACAGCCATTCGTTTCCCCAAGTCTCGGTCGTCACCTTGGCTCTACATGCGCATGAGGTCAGCCTGTGCAGGTGGGAGGGGCCTCGGCAGAGTGGTCGTCCTTCGGCGAACGACTCTTCGGCACGCGCGAAAGCGAAGACTATTGCGGCTGGCGCAGGGCGCATGGCGCGGTGAACCCTCTTTGACTTCAGTGGTTTTGAATTTCAAAAATACATTTACTTCGAGTCATCCCCACCCTGAGAGGAGATGTGGAAGAAGGCAGGGTATTGACAGACTAGCCTGATGAAGGCGGACATGCGGATTGACACTATGTGGTGGTTGTGGCGCCTCTTCTGGCATCAAGTCTGGTTTGTGCTCTGACACATCATCTATCATAAAAGCTGGGAAATGTTCTGGACTGCGTTCTGAGGTCGTTGCTGGCATGTTCTGACATTTTTCCTGCCGTGAAGTCTGACACGTGCTGCGACATATGGTCCGACTTCTGACATGTATTCGGACACTTAGGTTATGAAAGAAAGTGCGTCTATCTTGCATATCCTCGTATTTGGCAAATACTATTGCCTTCTATCAAGCATATACTCTGGCATTCTATTTGGCATATACTCTGCCATTCTGGCATTGTTGGGCATATTTATGGCACTTTACTTGGCATAAGCTCAAGCATTCTATCTCCAATTGTTCAAGCATTCTATTTGGCATATATTGCGGCGGTCGATCTGGCATATACGCTTACATTTTTCTCGCATATATTCTGGCATTCTATCTGGAATATTTTCTGACACTCTATCTGGCAGGCCTCCGAAAAGGAGCGCTTAATTGACTAGACATAGGTTCACCCTGACCAAACATGATCGTCGTGAAGGCTTCACATGAATAGTAGCAGCGCCTACATCAGGTTCTTTAGAGACATGGTCCATCATGTCCATGAGGAAATTAACGTTAATAAGCCAAACTCCACCTGTCTTACTTTTCTTCTAAGACTAGTCCATCAGGTCCCCGGAGAGAGTTGGCCCGGTCGACTGGCCGAGCAAACCTCGTCGATTGCCGCAGGTGGAGCAAAGAGGGCCCACGCCTTCTCTCCAGCAGCGGTGCATCAACGAGGAGCCCACAAAAGCAGTGAGAAAACAAATACATGCCAGACCATTTCCAGTTGCCTGCATCAGGGTCAGAGAATCATAAACAATTAACAATGTATATGTGCAACTCTTCCCAGGCCCATGGATGGTTTGTTGTATGTGACGCTGGTTGATTTCGAGAGGTATTGACATGGATATGTATGGATCAAAAGGGTAGTTTTATCAATTGATCTTGGGACATGGGCCGACATTGGCCATGGACATGGAATCTGCCGGGTAAAACTTGTAGCATCTGGGCAAAGCTAGAAACTCACCGGAACATTCATTGGGGCAGACGGTCCATTTTCTCAATTGGGTTTGGGGCGAACATGTTCACCTGGATCTTGATCTATGTTGCCCAGACATGTCACATTCTGTGCGACCATAAAACTGGGATATTTGATCGGTGCGGCTGGGATTTGGAAGTCAGTTCAGCTGGTGAATGGTTTTATTTTGCTGTGGGTGAATTGTCGAGTCAAAGCAACTCGCCTGAACTTTGTGAAACAACACATACAAGGAGGTCACACACACAGAAGCCCTGAGATGGATCACTTACAGAGAAGGTGATTGCATGGTTTTGTGATTGACCCTACGCAAGGCTTGAACCCATGGTGTTCACAAAAGGGTATTTCATGAGCATAGACATCTATAGGTTGTACACCCACCAATAATTCTAAGTATATTTTTTGAATTCTCAGGATCGGCATATCATCAAAACATATCAACCCTAAAGCTCCAGACCAACCCCTCCGTTCCTCTCGTTTCGGTGTTCTGGGTGGGTGCCAGCGGGGGGTTCTTCGTGTTTGTTCCCTACCGAGGAGGTGGGAGAGGAGCCGTGTTTTTGAAGGTCTGTTTCGAGCCATGCCGAACGATCCGCGTTGTCGAGCGAGGCTCGAGAGATCATGGGGAAAGACAAGGAAGGTGCGATGAATACAGCGGCTTCGCTCGCTGTGTTCTGTCAGAATGGAGTAGAGATGGGTATGGCTGCTTTAATTTAAGGGCCAATCCCAGGAAATTTGTATGTGTTTCCATTTCCGGAATGAACAAGTGAGCAGGGGAGATATCCACATGTATAATGCTTTGTGGAGGCTGAGCCGGCTGAGCCCCAAACGATCGCAGTGCAGCGGCCTGATGGTTTAAAGTCCTACTTTCCTGCAGAATGCTCCTTTCTCCCAACTCAGTGGACCTGAACTTATAAGGGCGTTCGTTCTCTGAAGAATCCACTTCTCAACGCCGAAAGCCGAGAGCCAACTGAAGCCCATGCGGCCCATGCTCCCTGCATCTTCGATCCATGCATGTCAAAGAACCAGGTCAGTGGGCGGAAGAAAACATCCGAATTTGGAGCCTGTTGCCTGACTCACATGGTTTTTTTCACGGTGCAGGTGAGGCGGCTGCCACAAAACCCAGCCCTAGGGATCCACGGCTCCATCGTACCGACCTGGTTCGGTACCACTGGAGCCTCCTGGCACCTACATAACTGTGTCGAACACATTGCCTTTTCAGAGGATATGTGGATAGTAGTAAGGCCAGGAGCGACCCTAGTAGCGTCCGAACGCTCTGTTCGTAGCGATGGCCTCCAACCTACTAGCAATGCGTCCGAACGTTACTACGCCCGTAGCTTAAGAAGCTCCTGGGCCGTTTGCAGGTTCGGAGTGAAACAGAATCGTTGTTTTGTTTTCTCGCCAGGTGCCGTGATCCACGAGGCGGGCTGGCCACCCGTGACGACTCGTGGCATAGGATGGCCAAGGCTCCAAACCCTCAGTGAGAACCACCACGGATTTCAGCCACGGATTTCATGAAAAGACCGAAAATACCTACCCTGCATCACCCCGCGGTGTTTCCAAGGATGTGAACCTATCTTTTCGGGTTTCATACGAACCAAATCCACTGGAGGCGAGGATCGAGTGGTCCTTTCTGGAACTCCGGGGTTCAGGCTAGCTGTTCACGAGAATGCCCACTCAAGCTGTACATTATAGCGCAGAACACTATTACCCAGACACTCCTTATATGCCATATTCACATACATTTGGGTGGTTGTCATACATGGAGTGTTTGGGATAAGAGGTATAAGAAGTTTAGGATCCCATGGGCTACGGTGGATAGAAGGGATTTGATCATCCAGCTACGAATTCTTGTACATCTCCCATGTCATCAGTCGGTCAAGCGCCAAACCAAGCCAAAACAATCAAATTCTGCTGGTCAAAGCAAATATACACCCAAATTCAGCTCTGAACCAACAACTCTTAATGAATGAATTCTACAGCACAACTTTGGTAAATGGAGATAGAAACACCGTCATCATCTTTGGGTCCTTGACGCAAGAATGGGCCTAAAAGATTCCTCAAGTA